TCTTTGTGCCCCCGAGGGCCCGGCGCTGCCGTGAGGTGGTGGTGCGGACCCTGAGCGGTGACAGCTGGAGCGACCTGGAGACCCGCCTGGAGGAGGAAGCACCGAAGGTGAGGCTGCCTGGGCCGCCGAGAAGCACGGGTGTGTGTGTGTGTGTGTGTGTGTGTGTGTGTCTCCAGGACCTGACTCCCCTCTGACCCTGTTCCCTCTGACCCCATCCCGTGCCCAGCGGCTCTGGGCTCACTGCCAGGTACCCCACTTCTCGTGGTTCCTTGTGGTGTCACGGCCCGTGTCCAACGCCTGCCTGGTGCCACCAGAGGGGGCCTTGCTGTGGTCCTCGGGGCACTCGGGGGTCAAGGTCACGTTCCCCCCCGGAGCCACGGAGGAGCCTCGTCAAGTCCGGATGCAGGTACAGCTGGGCAGCCCCGGGGGTGGCCGGTGCCCCCGCACGGGTGCTGTGCTCAGGCTGCTGTGTGCCAGGTGGTGCGCATGGCGGGCAGAGAGCTGCGGGCGCTGCTGGGGGAGCCCCAGGCGGCCGTGAGCCCCCTGCTGTGCCTCTCCCAGAGCGGCCCCCCCGGCTTCCTGCGGCCCGTCACCGTGCAGCTGCCGCTGCCGCCCGGGGTCACAGGTGAGAGCCCCCCACCCCCCGCCCGGGGTCACAGGGGAGAGCCCCCCCACCCCCCGCCCGGGGTCACAGGGGAGAGCCCCCCCCCCCCCGCCCGGGGTCACAGGGGAGAGCCCCCCCCCCCCCGCCCGGGGTCACAGGTGAGAGCCCCCCACCCCCGCCCGGGGTCACAGGTGAGAGCCCCCCCACCCCCCGCCCAGGGTCACAGGGGAGAGCCCCCCCACCCCCCCGCCCGGGGTCACAGGGGAGAGCCCCCCCACCCCCGCCCGGGGTCACAGGGGAGAGCCCCCCCACCCCCCGCCCGGGGTCACAGGGGAGACCCCCCCACCCCCCCCCCCGCCCGGGTCACAGGGGAGAGAGCCCCCCCACCCCCCCGCCCGGGGTCACAGGGGAGAGAGCCCCCCCCCCCGTCACAGGTGAGAGAGCCCCCCCCGCCCGGGGTCACAGGGGAGAGAGCCCCCCCCGCCCGGGGTCACAGGTGAGAGAGGTCTGTCCCCCCCCACCCCCCCGCCCGGGGTCACAGGTGAGAGAGCCCCCCCCCCCGTCACAGGTGAGAGAAGCCCCCCCCCCCCCCGCCCGGGGTCATAGGGGAGAGAGGTCTGTCTCCCCCCCACCGCCCTCCCGGTGTCACAGGAGAGAGAGGTAGTCGGAGGGGAGGCCTGGGGAGCTCAGCCCGGGACCCCCCCTCCCGCAGGCCTGAGTGTGGACCGCGCCCGCCTTCACCTGCTGTACCGGGCGCCCCCGGCCGCCACCTGGGATGACATCACGGCGCAGGTGGCCCTGGAGCTCACCCACCTGTACGCGCGCTTCCAGGTCACACACTTCTCCTGGTCAGTGCCCAGCCCCGTGCCCCCGTGCCCCCGGCCCCCGTGCTCCTCTCCCCTCTGCGCCGCAGCCCGCTCACCCCCACACCCCAGGTACTGGCTCTGGTACACCACCAAGACCTGCGTGGGCGGCCTGGCGCGCAAGGCCTGGGAGCGGCTGCGGCTGCACCGCGTCAACCTCATCGCCCTGCAGCGGCGCCGGGACCCCGAGCAGGTCCTGCTGCAGTGCCTGCCCCGCAGCAAGGTGGGCGGGCTGGGGGCCGGGGACGAGGGGTGGGGGCCGGGTGGGGGCCGGGGACGAGGGGTGGGGGCCGAGGACGAGGCGGGGGGCCAGGGGCTGGGGGCCGGGGATGAGGGGTGGGGGCCGGCTGGGGGCCGGGACGAGGGCTGGGGACCGGGCGGGGGCCGGGGACGAGGCGGGGGGCCAGGAGCTGGGGGGCCGGGGACGAGGGGTGGGGGCCGGGCGGGGGCCGGGTGGGGCCGGGCGGGGGCCGGGTGGGGGCCGGGTGGGGGCCGGGCGGGGGCCGGGTGGGGGCCGGGCTGGGGGCCGGGGACGAGGGGTGGGGGCCGGGTGGGGGCCGGGTGGGCTCTGAGCCGTGGGTGCCCCAGGTGGACGCCGCACTGCAGCGGCTGCTGGAGCGGTACCGTGGCCCGGAGCCCTCGGACACCGTGGAGATGTTCGAAGGCGAGAAGTTCTTCGCCGCCTTTGAGAGAGGCATCGACGTGGATGCGGGTAGGCCCTGCCCTGGGGTGGGCCCGGGTCCACCAGCCTCCCCGCTAAGCCCCCCCCCGCCCCTGCAGACCCCCGCTCCCCCCGCTGACCCCCCGCCCCCGCAGACCCCCGCCTCCCCCCCCTCCCCTGACTCCCGCCCCTGCAGACCCCCGCTCCCCCCGCAGACCCCCCGCCCCCGCAGACCCCGCTCCCCCCGCTGACCCCCCCGCCCCTGCAGACCCCCGCATCCCCCCGCTGACCCCCCGCCCCCGCAGACCCCCGCCTCCCCCCCCACCGCTCCCCCCGCCCCCGCCGACCCCTGCCTCCCCCCGCTGACCCCCCATCCCCGCAGACCCCCGCCTCCCCCCGCTGACCCCCGCCCCCGCCGACCCCTGCCTCCCCCCCCACCGCTCCCCCCCGCCCCCGCAGACCCCCGCCTCCCCCCCCTCCCGCTGACTTCCCGCCCCCGCAGACCCCGCTCCCCCCGCTGACTCCCCGCCCCCGCAGACCCCCGCCTCTCCCCCCCCCCGTCCCTGCAGACCCCCGCTCCCCCCTCTGACCCCCCGCCCCCGCAGACCCCCGCTCCCCCCTCTGACCCCCCTGCCCCCGCTGACCCCCGCTCCCCCCGCTGACCCCCCCGCCCCCGCAGACCCCCCGCTCCCCCCGCTGACCCCCCGCCCCCGCAGACCCCGCTCCCCCCCCCCCCCGCTGACCCCCCGCCCCCGCAGACCCCCCGCCCCCGCTGACCCCCCCCGCTGACCCCCGCCCCCGTGACCCCCCCCCCGCTGACCCCCCGCCCCCGCTGACCCCCCCCCCCCCCCCCGCTGACCCCCCGCCCCCGCAGACCGCCCGGACTGCGTGCAGGGCCGCGTGTGCTTCGTGTTCTACTCGCACCTGAAGAACCTGAAGGAGGTGTACGTGACCACCGCCCTGGACCGGCAGGCCCAGGCCGTGAAGGGCCAGGTGGGCTGACGGGTGGGCCCCCCCCTCCCCCCGGCTGCCTGCCCAGGCCGAGGCCGGGCACTGACTCTGTCCCCCGCCCCAGGTGTCCTTCTACCGGGGAGCCGTGCCCGAGGACGTGCCCCCGGAGGCGGAGGCCGCCCGGCAGAGGAAGGCCCCGGACGCCCAGTGGATGGCCACTCTGCCCATCAAGCTGCCGGTGTGGCCGGGTGGGGAGGGGAAGGGGAAGGGGTGGGTGGGCCTGGGGCTGGAGCCAGGGCTCACTGTGCCCACCCCTCCCCCCAGAGGCTCCGGAGGTCCGAGGGCCCGGGCCCAGGGCCGGGAGCCGGCCTCTCCCTGGCACCTCTGAACCTGGGCGACGCTGAGACTGGCTTCCTGACTCAGAGCAACCTGCTGAGTCTGGCCGGGCGCCTGGGCCCCGACTGGCCGGCTGTGGCCCTGCACCTGGGCCTGTCCTACCGGGAGCTGCAGCGCATCCGGCATGAGTTCCGGTGGGTGCCTCCCAGCCTCCGCTGCCGCCCTGTGGCCAGCCTCAGGCCTGGGCGCCTGCGGGGTGGGGGGGTGGGGGGGAGAATGGGGGGCCTGAGGCTGCTGAAGGGCCGTCGGGAACGGGGTGGGTGGTGTTAGGGTAACAGACACTGAGGGGTGGTCTGCCAGGGTGCAGGATGCCGGCCCCGGGTGGAGCCGGCCCCGGGTGGGTGTGGTGGCAGTCCTGGGGGCCCTCCGTCACTGAGCCCCTTCTCCCCAGGGACGACCTGGACGCCCAGATCCGTCACATGCTGTTCTCGTGGGCCGAGCGCCGGGCGGGGCAGCCGGGGGCGGTGGGCAGCCTGGTGCAGGCGCTGGAGCAGAGTGAGCGGCGCGACGTGGCGGACGAGGTGCGGGCCATCTTGGAGCTCGGCCGCCACAAGTACCAGGACGGCATCCGCCGCACGGGCCTGGCCCCCAGGGACCTCGCCCCGCCGGGGCCTGCCGCCTCGCCGTCCCCGGAGCCTGCCCAGGCCTAGGCTGACCCTGCGCCTCGGCCGGGCTCAGCGGTCCTGGCTCCAAGCCTTCCCTGTGTGCGCGGACAGTGACCTGTCCAACAAACACGCTTGTCTGTCTGCTGTCTGAGGGCTTGGTCTGTTTGTTGGGTGGAGATCAGAGGCCGGGCCGCCGCTGGGGGACGGGGTGGGGGTGGGGGGCCTCCGCTGACCTTGGTCCTGCCCCTGGCACGTGCCCAGCGCCTCCTGTGGGTCCTGATCGTCCCAGGAGGGAGCGGAGCTGCGGCTACAAAGGGACGTTGGCAGCATCTTGGATACAAAGCCACGGTGTGCGGGCTGTGCGCCCGCCCCCACAGCCAGTGGGCGGCCCAGGCCCTGAGCCCTGTGGTCCCATCGCTCCTGCCGCAGGACAGACGCCCTTTCCCAGCGCTGGGCCGCGGGGCTGCTGGCCGGCCCCGCTGCTCCCCGGCCCGCCCACAGCCCACGCAGGGCGCGGGGCCGAGGCCGCGGGGCGCGGGGCGCGGGGCGCGGGGCGCGGGGCGCGGGGGCCGCGCCGGCCGCCAGGGGGCGCCGGAGCCCGTGTGCCGGCGGGGGCGGAGCGCCGGCGGACGCACTCCCGCGGCGGGCGCAGGCGGCGGGAGGCGAGCGGCGGCGGAGCGCGGTGAGTGCCGGCGCCCCGGGCGGAGCCGCTGCGGCGGCCGGGCTGCGGGCGGGGGCCGCCGGGGCGGTGACAGCCGGCGGGGCGAGGCGGCCGGGGGCCCGGCCGGCGATGCTCGGGGCCCGCCGCCGGGGGTGGGAGGCCGTGCTCGGCCCCGAGCGGGACGGGCGCGCTCCCCGCGCACACGTGTCCCCGCGGGGTGCTCGCCGGGGCCGCGGCCGGGGGGGCGCTCGGGGGAACGCGCCGGGCGTGTGCGGACACGTGCGCGCTGCAGCCGCCATCGCCTAGCGGGGGGCGGCCCGGCTCCGGCTCCGGGCCCGGTTCCGACCCGTCCAACGGGACCGGGGTGAGCCGGCCCCGGAGCGGGTCCCGCAGCCGCCGCCAGCCTCCTCCGGCCGCGGGGGGCGCCGCTCTCGCCGGCGGAACAGAGGCGAGGGGGCCGGGCAGGTGAGATGGGAACGGGGCAGGGGCAGCTCCAGACTCGGACCCTCAGCCCATCGCCTTCAGGGGCGTGGGGGGGGGCAGCCGCGTCATTTGTGGGCGTTTCCCCGGGCGCCGGAGCAGCGGGCCTGCTGGCTGCCCTGAGCTGTGGGCACAGAGGGGTCAAGGCTGCCATGCCAGCCCCGGGCCTCCAGTTGGAATCCTGAGCTTGGCTGGGGCTGCCCAGTTTCTATGGCAACATGGGGTCCAGCGCAGGGCCCTCCACGGGGTGAGGACAGAAAAGGGGGTACAGGGTCCGAGGATCCCTCTCCAGTTCTCCCCAGACAGAGCCCGCCCCCGCACTGCTGTCTGGGTCCTGCCGCCCCCGCAGCGTGGGGGGTGGGTGAGGGAGGGACCCCAGGGCCGTCGTCTTGGGCTTGAGGTCCCTGGCTTCTGGGCCTGCCTCTCCCGGCTTGGACAGTCCATCTGGATCGCGGGATCCCCATCATCCCGGCGCCCTGACCCCGGTGATGCCCAGGGGGCAGGGCTCCCTCAGAGCCCAGAGGGCGGGGCGGGGCTGGGCCCCGGGGTGCGGCCCCGTCCCGGGCCGGAAAGAGCTGGCTGGGACCTGTGTACCTGGGGGGGGGTCAGGTTGAAGTTCAGAGGGCAGGCTCTTCCTGTGGGGGGCGGGGAGCAGTCCCAGGCAGAGCCCCGGGGAGGGGAGCTGGCCGGGCAGAGGCTCTGGAAGTGCCCGTTCTCGTGGCCTCTGGGCCTGCCAGGTGAGTGGCCGGTGGGTGGCAGCCCGTGGCCCCTGAGGCCCGGCCTCCCTCCCGGCCTCCGGTGGACCCGAGTCTCCCGGGCCCAGGCTCCGTCCCCCTGACATGCACTGCCCCCGTGGACACGCAGGTCCTGCCGCCCGTCTCCCCCCACGGACCCCGTTCCCCGCGAGGCCACGTGGGCTGGGCACAGCCCCGTCCTCAAAGCCGGCTCCAGGCAGAGCAGCCTGCGGCCTGCAGGCGGACCCGCAGGGCACCGGGCGGCGTGGCCGGGGCTGGCACCCGGGGGCCGGGGCCTGGCCTGACCCGGTCAGTCTGGGGCAGACCCACTGCCCTGCGGCTGCAGCTGCGGCTGCCTGGCCTCCAGAGCTGTCACACCCCTTCCCCTCCCGGCGGCGGCAGGCAGCCTCACGCCCCAGGGAAAGAGAAAGTCCCCCGCCTCCCCGCCCTCCCCGCCCCTCCCCGCCCCGAGACCAATCGGCCGCGGCACCTCCCTCGCCGCGCGGCTGGGCGGCTGAGCCTCAGAGGAGAGTGCTGCCCGCGGTGAGCAGACGGGCGGGGGCGGCGGGCGGCGGTGGGCAGGGCCCCTGGCCTGGGAGGGCGGAGGTGAAGGTCACACGCTCCGAGGGACCCCGGCGAGAGCCAGCTGGCAGCGGCAGCGGCTCTGCGGTGACAGCTCCGGCGCTGGCTGTGCCCCCGGGGAGGCCGGGCTGGCGCTGGCTCCCGAGTCCGGCCCTGGTGAGGGGGCCATTGCCCGGCCGGAGAGCGGATGTGGGAGGTCAGCCACCCACTCCCAGCTGCCCCCCCTTTGCCACACACCCTGGCCAGCTTCTGGGGTGTGTGTCTGGGAATGAAATTCCCGGGGGAGGGGGCACAGGGCTGGGGTGGGTGAGGATGGTGCTTCCCCAGGAAGGACGTCTGAGGGTCCAGCATGGGGGGTGTCCTGGGGGAGACCCCAGCCCCTTTCTCTGCTCACGGAGGGGGCGCCACCCGCAGGGGGCTGACCCGGCCGGAACCTGTCCCCTTCCTTCCAGCCTCTGCCGCCGCCCCCCACCGGCGCTGGCCCTTTAAAGAGGGCGCTCCGTGCGCACGTGACTGCGAACGTGAGGAGGTGCCGGCAGGACCGCCGTGGGGGGCTGAGGGGAGTCTGCATGCGGGCACCTCCCAGGCTGCACCCCCCACACCTCGGTGCCCAGCCCGGGTGGTGGCGGGAGGCGCCTGGTGCCCCTCGTGAGGCGTGGGGGGAGGGGGTGCCTGGGTGGCCTGTCCCCCCCCCACTCCAGCCCCCGCTTCCTTCCAGGCCAGAAGGGGTTTGCGGTCCCCGATTCCCAGCCAGTGGGTCCCTCCTGCCACCCCTCCGCCCTCCACCACCGACTCCGCCTGCACCTGGTGCCACCGCCCGCCGGTTAAATGGCTGATAAGCAGATCAGGTGGGGGCGCTCCCGCCGGCCCGCCCTCCCCTGCCCTCTGCCCTCTGCCCCCTGCCCCCTGTCCTCTGTCCTCCCCTGCCCCTGCCCTGTGCCCCCTGCCCCTGCCCTGTGCCCCCTGCCTCCTGCCCCCATGCCCCTGCCCTGTGCCCCGTGCTCCAGGAGGCCGCAGGCCTGACCTTCCCTCTCCCACAGTCTCCCCGCCAAGCTCATCAATGGGGGCATCGCCGGGCTGATCGGGGTCACCTGCGTGTTCCCCATCGACCTGGCCAAGACGCGGCTGCAGAACCAGCAGAACGGCCAGCGCATGTACACCAGCATGTGAGCCGCGGGGGCGGGTGGGGGGGGCGGGCTCCCGGGCTCCACTCCTGGGCCCCCCACTGTAACCAGAGGGGGCGCTGGAGAGAGGGCAGGCCGGGGGGCTGCTGCCTGCCCACGGCTTAGCTCACCGTCCGTCCCTCGGCTGCAGGTCCGACTGCCTCATCAAGACCATCCGCTCGGAGGGCTACTTCGGCATGTACCGCGGTGAGGCTCTGGTGGGGAGGGGGCGTGAGGGGCGGCAGCAGGCCTGGGCTGTGTGGAGGGGACTGTTTTCCGGGGGCCATCCACTGGCCCTGGTGCCGGAGCCCAGGCGTTGGGTGACGGGTGACATCGGGAGGGGGCCGTTCTCAGCATCCACCCTTCCCGTCACTTCACCCCACTCACTGCCAGCGCCTGGCACAGCAGGACGCGTGTGTCTACCCCTGGCTACAGCTTCTTTCCTGCCACCTCCTAAAAATACATGTTTTTATTGATTTCAAAGAGGAAGGGGGAGAGAGACATCAGCGATGAGAGAGCATCATGGACCGGCTGCCTCCTGCACGCTCCACATGGGATGGAGCCTGCATCCTGAGCACGTGCCCGGCCACAGTCAAACTGTGATGCTCAGCCACTGAGCCACGCCAGCTGGCATCCCCGCCTTCTGAGCGCCCCAGGGCCTTGTCTGTGCTGAGAAAGGGGGTGGGGGTGGGGGTGGGGGTGGCGGGAGGAGAAGGCCTGCAAAGCAGCTTAAACAATCCCTGAGCCCGGGTTCCCCCGGGCTGTGCAGCCCTGAGCCCTGGGCTGGAGTCTGCCTCATCCACATGCCCCTCACCCAGTGCCCTGGCCAGAGGGAGCCCCTGTCCCCCAGGAGGGTTTCCTCGGGGCGCCCACCTGGCCGGACCGGGAGGTGATTTGGGGGAGAGCGAGCGAGTGCCTGGAGGAGGCAGCACTGCCCGGCCCCGCCCAGCCTGGCACCAATGTGGGTGAGAGGGCAGGCGGCGGCGGCCAAGGATTGACTGGGGTAGGGCTCTGCCAACTGGGAAGCAAGTGCTGGCCAGAGCCACCCCTACACGATGTGCCCACAGGAGCCGCCGTGAACTTGACCCTTGTCACCCCCGAGAAGGCGATTAAGCTGGCAGCCAACGACTTCTTCCGACATCACCTCTCCAAGGACGGGTGAGGGGCGTGCCTCTGGCCCAGGACAGGCGTGCCCCCTGCTGCCCCCTGCAGGCCCCCGCCGCTCCTGCTCCTCAGTGTCCCGTCCTCCTCGTCCTTGCCCCCCTCCCTGCTCCCCCGCAAAGCGGGGAGTGAGGCCGGCACCGAGTCTGCTGCTCCAGCCCCCGTGGTCCTTGGCCCTGGGCCACGGCCTGCTCCCCCATAGCCGGGATTTGTGGGCGCCGAACAGCTTTCCTCTGTCTCTGCCAGAGGAGGGCCCCCTCCCTTCCCGGTTCCTGCCGCGGGGCCATCTGTTCGCAGGCTCGGTGCCCACGCTGGAGGGGTGTCTGAAGCTGGGGTGCTGTGCCCCCACAGGGCTGCGTCTGCCTCCACTGCTCCTGCCCCTTCACACCCAGGCGCAGGCAGGACCCCCAACCCTGTCCGTGACCCCCGCTCCCCCTCCGCAGGCAGAAGCTGACACTGCTGCGGGAGATGCTGGCCGGCTGTGGGGCCGGCACCTGCCAGGTCATCGTGACCACCCCCATGGAGATGCTCAAGATCCAGCTCCAGGACGCCGGCCGCATCGGTGAGTGGCCAGGACTGGGGACCAGCCCCGGGGGCGGCGCCGGGCTGGCCCCTGCCCTCGCCTGGAGGGAGAGCCAGCCCCTTCCGTCCTCTCCCCCCAGCCGCCCAGAAGAAGATCCTGGCCGCCCAGGCCCAGCTTTCCACACCGGGGGGCGCCCAGCCCTCCGTGGAGGCCCCCGCCGCCCCCCGGCCCACGGCCACCCAGCTCACCCGGGACCTGCTCAGGAGCCACGGCATCGCCGGCCTCTACAAGGGACTGGGGGCCACGCTGCTCAGGTGGGGAGGGCGGGAGGAGGGGGGAGGGAGGAGGAAGCAGGGGGGAGGGGGTCCGCCCACCCCACATCTCCAGTCACCACCACACCTCCCCCCCCCCACAGGGACGTCCCCTTCTCCATCGTCTACTTCCCCCTCTTTGCCAACCTGAACCAGCTGGGCCAGCCGGCCTCCGAGGAGAAGTCCCCCTTCTACGTGTCCTTCCTGGCCGGCTGCGTGGCCGGGAGCACGGCCGCCGTGGCTGTCAACCCTTGTGATGGTCAGTGGGGCCCTGGGCCTCCCTCGGCTGGGGTGGGGATAAGGGTGGGGATAAGGGTGGGGTAGGGGGTTGGGGGGGGTGAGCAGCCCCTGACCTGGCCCTCCCCGCAGTGGTGAAGACTCGCCTGCAGTCCCTCCAGCGCGGGGTCAACGAAGACACCTATTCCGGCTTCCTGGACTGCGCCAGGTGGGCGAGGCCCCGGGCGGGGCGGGGGGAGGGGTGCAGGGCAGGCTGGCCCGGCTCTGACCCCCCTTCTCCACAGGAAGATCCTGCGGAACGAGGGCCCCTCCGCCTTTCTGAAGGGGGCCTACTGCCGCGCCCTGGTCATCGCCCCGCTTTTCGGCATCGCCCAGGTGGTCTACTTCCTGGGCATCGGGGAGACGCTGCTGGGGCTGCTGCAGAGCCCCCAGCCCTGAGCTGCCCGCCCCCCGCAGGACTAGAGGGGCCTGGGGCTGGGCGGCCGCCCAGGACCAAGCAGGGGAGCGTCTGCGCCCCTCCCCGTGTGGAGGGGGGAGGAGGAGGGGTGCAGGGTGCACACCCATAGGCTGAGGGGTCCTGCCTGCAATCACTGGGATCAAGGTGTTATTTATGTAGAAGTCACAGGAGTCGTCACATTCCCGGAGCCAGCCCTGCCCCCTCTGCCCGGGCCTGGGCACCCCCGGGACAGAGCTGGTCTCAGCTGGGGGCTCCCGGGTGAGGGCTGGGCGGGGGATCCTCCCCTCCAGGCTACCGGCCCCGCCCCGAGGCGCAGCCCCTGGTCCCCAAAGGGGAGGCTGCACAAACCTATTTATTAACTTGCTGAGCACAAGTGGCTCTGTCCAGCCCTCTGTCCGTCCATCGGTCCAGCCTCCCCACTGCTGCTCTCGCCTCGGCCAGCCTTGCAGGAGAATCGGGGTCTCCTGCCCCCCATATTGAGCCAGGAATCCCAGGCAGGCGGGGCGGGGGGATCACACTGAATCCTGACTCCCAGGGAAACCCCACCCCTCACTGTGGGCCCCTCTGCCCCATCCCAGACGGAGCCCAGAGTGTGTGAGGTCTGTGTGCATATGGGAGAGTCGCTGCCCTTCCCACATGGCCAGGCAGTGCACACGTGTGCGTGCGTGTACGTGTGTGTGTGCTGTGTAAACCTATGCCTCTGCTGACCCTGTCCAGAGTTGTTTGTCCAGTCCAGCTCCTCTGGCTGCACCTGCAGCTGACCCCTCTCCCGAGACCTGCACCCCGGGTCTGACCTTGGCCAGTGGGAAGGGCACGCAGACCAGTGTGGAGCCGGGGCACCTGCTCTGTGTGCAGGGGCGGGGAGCCGCCCTCCTGGCCGCCCTGCTCTCGGGCCTCTGATAAGGCCCACCTGCCCCCTCCAGCCCCCTCCGCCCGCCGCCCAGACCCACCCCCGTTGTGAATGGAGGCAGGCACCCCCTGGCCGGGCGATCCTGCTGGTGCTGTGTCCCCGCCACCCAGGCCCTCTGAGGAGGCCCCTTCCCAGCGACACTACCTGGGGCCGAGGCCTGGCCCCCGTTCACGGTTGTACCCCCCACATCTGTTGTCCTTGGAAGCTGCTGCTGCTGCTGATAGATTTATATTTTTTTTCTTTTGAGGAGTTTCAAGAAGTGACTTTTTGTGTCTTGTCATGTAAGGAGATAAATAAATATTCTAAGTAGATGCCTCCTCTCTGAGTCTCTGTTAGGGGCTGTGGGGGGGGAGGGGGCTGGAGCCCCCTCATGACTGGCTCCCCCTGCAGGGAGAGGTTGGGGGTGAGGTGGGGGTTGGGGTGCGGGAGGCCAGCCTGAGACCCTCGCAGCCTGATCCTAACCCACTCTTGAGATTAACAGCCAGACCAGGCAGGCGTGGATCAGTGGTTAGCGTCCACCTATGAGGTTGGATTGGTTGGGGCACGTGTTGTGGGCTGGCCCCCCGTGGATCAGTGGTTAGCGTCCACCTATGAGGTTGGATTGGTTGGGACCCGTGTTGTGGGCTGGATCCCTCGTGTGGGGCGTGCAGGCGGCAGCCAATAGTAATTCTCTCTCATCATTGTTCCCCCCGCTCCCTCTCTGCAGTCAATAAAAATATATTTGGGGGGAAAACGGAGTGGGGGTGGGGCTCTGAGTGCCCAGTGGTCAGGGGCGTCCGCAGTGGAAGGCGACGGGGCGGGGCCTGAGCGGGTGCGGCCCCGCCCCTTCCGTGCGCAGGAGCAGTGCATTGTGGGAAACTCCTGGTCCTCTCGCCGCAGCTGCTGCTCTTCAACCCGCAGCCCCGCAGCCAGCAGCCAGCGCAGGTGGGAGCTCCCGGAGCAGCCGGGTGAGGCGCGGGCTCCGCGGCACGGGCCGGGGGATGTGGGGGAGGATGGGGCGCTCAGCTGGAGGCGGTTCCCTGCCCTGAAGGTCATCCCTCTCCCCGGCCAAGGAGCCCCGGGGAGGGCGGGGGAGGGGCCGCCAGTGACGTCAGTGAGAGACAGGGCCGTGGGGGAAGCAGACCACCTGCCCTTCGCAAATGTGACTCCCGGCAGCGGGGGGCGCCTCCAGCACGGCGGCTGGCGGGGTGAGGGCTGCGGGGGGCCTCTCCCTGGGACACCCCATCATGCTGTGACCTTCAGGCGACCTTCCGTGTGGTTAGTGCCTCTGGGTGGGTGTGGAGCCCGGGGTGGTGGCGGGGGGTTCGCATCCTCCCAGGGCAGAGGCAGACAGGCAGGAGCAGGGTCTGCGGGGAGGGCCAGCTGAGGCCCAGGGGCCAGGCGCCCAGCCCCCTTCCCTGCCCCAGGCATCCAGGTGGGGCCAGCTTTCCTACAGCCCACACCCCCTCCCGCCTGCCCCACTGCGGAGGCTGATGGACAGGGTGTGTGCCCACGCTGGGCCACCCCATCCCCTTTGCCCCCCTCCCCGGAGGCAGGGGCAGCCTGGGCCCAGGAAGGACAACCTGTCCTTGAGCTGGAGCAGGGGAGGCCATGCTGGATGGGCACAGGGCAGGGGCCGCCCTGCCCTCCTGGCTCCAGCCTCCTGGACACCGAGGTTTGCACCCCGGCCTGTGGCCTCGGGCCACTCCCACCCTGTCGGCCCAGAGACCAGTTCCCGGTTCTCCCTGCCCTGCCCTCCGCCTGGACCCGTCCCCCTGAGAAGGGCACGTGGTCAGTGCTGCCCAAACCCATCCTGGCTGCTGCCCCTCCCCTGGCCACACACCCTCTCGGGGCTGGTGACTCTCGCTCCCTGCCAGGGCCTCCCTGCCCTGGGCCAGCGTCATGGCCACAGCTTGAGTTCCGGGAAGACCATTTTATAGACAAGGAAACCTGGCCCCCCCCCCCCACTCAGCCTGTGCGGGGCTCACAGTCCAGCCTGGGGGGGGCGGGGGGGGGAGAGCCTCAGGGTGTGGCCGGAGATAGGTGGGGGCTGGGCCCCGGAAGAGGAGGATTCTGAGCTGGGGCTTTCGGGGGTCCAGAGGACTGAGTGGTGTCGCTATGGGGACGAGGCGGTGGGGACTGGACAGGATGGGCGTCCTTGTGTCTCCCCCCTCCAGGCCCACGTAATGCCCAAGGGTGAGCTGTCCTGAGCAGCCGTGGTCCCGCCACCCGTCCATCCGCACCCCCACGGCATCATGGAGTCCAAAGGGAAGGCAGCCAACAGCCCCAAGCCTGATGCCAAGGGGCCCCAGGCCGCGGCAGAGGTCCGAGGCCCTCCAGTGGTGGACGGGAAAGCCCCCTCGGCCAAGCCTGGGAAGAAGGAGGCCCAGGCGGAGAAGCAGGAGCCGCCCGTGGCCCCCGCCCAGCCACCTGCCAAGAAGACGCCAGCCAAAGCCGACCCCGCCCTCCTGCACAACCACAGCAACCTGAAGCCGGCCGCCCCGGCCGCCCCGGCCCCCGCCGCCCCTGGCCGCCCCGAAGCCGCCCCTGAGCCCAAGGGCCCTGGCGACGGGGCCGAGGGGGACCAGGCCCCCAGTGGGGGCCGTGGAGGCCAAGGCCCCTGCTCCTTCGAGAACTTGACGCCCCTGCTGCTGGCTGGGGGCGCGGCCATGGCCGCCGTGGCCCTGATTCTCGGGGTGGTGTTCCTGGCACGAAAAAAGTGACGCCGCTGCCGGGCGGGGCCCGCGCCCCGAGCGGACCACCTGCGGGATGTGCATGCCAACTCATAGCTGTGTACCCATAGCCCATAGGCGACATATACACACACGCCCCGACACGGGGAGACACGGACAGGCTGCCCGGGCAGTGGGGCCCGCCCCCTTAGCTGGTCCCTAGCGTGTCCCCCTCCCCCTCCCCCAGGCAGGGACCGGCTCCTGGGCCTGAGCAGCACAGGGTGGAGCCGTGGCCTCGGGCAGAGGGCTCAGGCCAGGGCACAAGGGGCGGTGGATGGGGTGGACCCTGAGCGGGGCCAGCTTGTCCCAAGGGGCCCCGGGGTCCTGGGGTTTTCCTGGCCGCTTCCTGAAGAGCCCCAGGCCGGAGGGGGCCAAGGCTCAGGGTCCAGGCCGGGCTCTGACCTGGGCCCGGCCACGTGGACATTAAAGGTGTGGCTGTTTCACCTCCCTCCTCTGCTCTCTGCTTGCAGCCGGCGGAGTGGGGTCTACGGGCTGAGCCGCTCCAGGGCTGACCCCAGGCTTCCTGCCACCTCTGCCCGCTGCCCTCCCGGAGCTGGGGAGGCGGTGCAAGGCCCGTCTCCGGAGGGGTCACCCCACTTCCTGCCCTGAGCCCTCTCCCCATCCTGTGGCAACTGTCCAGGGGGGGCAGCTAGGGGTGGGCAGGGAGGAGGGTATCAAGGACCTGCCCCGCAGCTGTCTGCCGATCCCCCAAAGATGCCCCGGAGAGGCCCCTCCTGCCTTACCCAGCGTCCTTTGAGTCGAACAAGCGTATAAATGCAATAACAGGTAGAGTAGAACCACGTGGTGGGTGACCATCACCACGCCCACTGCCCCATGAGCCCGCAGGGGGCCGTGCTGGGCAGCCCCTCTCCTGCCCATGGAGTCCCGGCGTGGCCACTGCACGGTGGCACAGGCGGGCTCTGGAGGGCCGTGGTGGGCACCGTGGACCCTGACTGCCCGTCCCTGGCCGGCCGGCCGCTGGAACGCCGGGCCTGATGGAGGCTGGGCCTACAATAAACTTGTCTCTCGGCTGGTCTGCCGTCTCACCTGCATGAGGCTGGGAGAACCAGGGTCCCACACCCACACCCACACCCCCTGGCACTCCCCTGCCAGCGCCCCACCTGGCTGGCTCTGCCCACAGCTGGGCCGGGGCCTGCCCCACCGCCCGGCCTCCGGCTGCCCTGGCCGCACTGCTCGGGGCGGCACGGGGGCTTGGGGTGGGGACGGGGGGCCTTGTCCCTCAGGTGGGCCTCCAGCCAGGGGGGCCCCTTTTTCTGCGTACACACCCTCTCTGCAGGGAGCACCCCATCTGGGAGGGCACAGGGGAGACTGCGGGCTGGGCGTTCCTTTTTTCACCTCCCACCCACAGCTCCCAGTGCCCACCTGGCCCGGCCTGCCGGGACCCCAGCTGCAGGCGGCTGGCTGACTGGGCATGGGCAGGGGAGAAGGCTCCCTGGGCACTGCCTTCTCTAAGGTCACGGGCGCATCTTCCTGCTGGTCCCCCTGTGCCCACCGCCGAGGGGCAGACCCTTGGAGCGCCCGCGCCTCAGGCCCAGACACCAGACACGTTCCTGCGAGCATCCGAACGGACCCGGCGCCCGGCCCAGGCCGCCCACGGGCTGCCTCCTGCTGACCGTGCTGGGCTCCCGACTCCACTATCCTGGCCATGGCCCGACATCGCCCGTCCCCTAGGCTCCTGTCCCCCTGCCCCCAAGCACCAGGGGCCACTCCGCCGGGCCACCCACTCTCCCGTTCTCTCCTCTGTGACTGGAACCGTCAAAACAAACAACCAACTCACCCTCCTGACACTTAGGGGGCCAGGAGGGAGGAGGCCTGGGACGGAGGAGGCCCAGGCAGCGGAAGGCTGGGCTCAGGGTCTGGCCTGGCCGGTCCTTGGATGCTGTGACGCTGCACCGCGAGGCGCCTCCTGGTTATGGGTTCCCTGTGGGTGTGCATGGAGTTTCCGTGTTTTCCCACCTACAGACGGGCAGCGGGCGCCTCTGGGCCTGTGCTCCGTGGTGTGCGCTGCCGGTTCTGAACGTAAGCTTCACAGAACCAGCACCTGCGGTTTTCCCCAGCCTCTCAGGTGCACAGCGCCGGCAGGGAGTGCGTTCACACCACCGCACGGTCCCCAGCGTCTCCCGGACGCTCTCTCAAACGTATTTGTGTTGAGGTCAGGGAGGCGGGGTGAGGGAGAGGGGGACCACCACCATGACCAGAGAGAAGCCTGGGTCGGTGATGTGCCCCGTTACTCCTGTGCAGTGGGGGGACCGAGCCTGCAGCCTGGGCAGGCGCCCTGACCAGGATGGAACCCTGATCTCAGGGTTCACAGGTCCATGTTCAGCCCCTGAGCCACGCTGGCTGGGGCTCAGGACTCCCTTCATTTTACCGAACTGGCCCGCCCCCCCCCAAACGCCCGCCCCCGCCACGCACCGTCCTGCCTCCTGCCGCTGTGGCTCTGACCCTCCAGGACCTCACGGGGGACCCTGAGGCTGCACCCTCCGCCCCCGTGATGGCCTCAGGGTGGCCCCACATCCTGGCAGGTGGGGTTTGCTCCCCTCCTGAGGCTGCGCAGCCCTGAGTGGGGGTGGCTGCTCTGTGTCCACCCCCGTCCACGGACACTCCGGCCGCCCCACCTTCCCACGCATGACTGTGCTGTGGCCACGGCGCTCGGGACCCTGCTCCACGTGACATGCCTGCCGGTGGGACTGGGTGAGAGAGCGTGTGCTGATGCCACTGTCTCCTGCTAGGAATCAGCCACACAACACCTGCCTGGCGCTGGGACAGCCGTGCTCTCGGCTTCTCCTCTGACGTTTGCTCAGCTAGGGACTGAGCCCGCAACCCGGGCATGTGCCCTGACCGGGAATCACACCAGCGACCTCTTGGTTCCTGGGCCAACACTCAGCCACCGAGCCTGCCGGCCGGCACCACAAAACTGCGTTAGGGTCTAAACAGAAGACCAGGCACCAAAGGACTCAGGGGCAGCAGCACCCCCTGGCCAGGCTCCAGGTGGACCGGAGACCCCATCCCAGCCTTTGCATTCTGAGCACCAGGCCTCCGGCCCCTCATGCCACGGGGGGCACCCCAGGGCACAGGCGGCCAGAACAAGGAAGAGAGGGCACACGTGTAGGGGCCACTGTTTCCTCTCTAGCGCCCCTCCCCACCGGAGGGTGCAGCTCCTTTGGGGACTCCCCATGAGTTCATTCCTGATATGTCTGGGGTAGGCCCGGCCAGTGCCTCAAGAACCCGCCTCCCCCGGATCTGGGCCTGGGCTGGGTGGTTTCAGAACCTGTCTTCCTGCATCGGGACAGGAGGGGTGACTCCCACTGCGGACCCTCACCCTGGCTTCCTGGGCCTTCAGCCGGCCCCCACCTCACCACTCAGCCCCCCGACCTCACACCTGCTCCCAGGACTGGGCAGATAGAGGCTCCCTGCCTCGCAGTGACAGGCGTGGCACACCTGGGCATCTCTGTGGCACAGGCGTGCTCCCGAAGGGAGGGATTCCCCAAGGAAGGGAGCAGGAGGCCCGGCAGCACCCAGAAGCCACAGGGACCGAGGCTTCACCGCTTGCCCACCTGGAGCTGTGGCACGCCTAAACACGCCAACTGGACGGGTCACGTGCGGAGACACAGACCGAAGGTGATGCCCACAGGGGGCCTGGCCTCGGCGTCCGCTCCCCCTGCTCGGGCGTGTGAGCCGGCAGGCACCCTGCCGCCCAGAAGCACAGAGGGGCCCGCGGTGAGCACAGGCGCGCACACACTGGCCTCCACGGCACTGCCGCCGCCCGGCTTCCTCCTCCGCCCGCCTCCTTGGGGACAGAAAGGACTTAACGGGTCCCAGGGGCGGGAAGAGCTTCCCCACCAGGAGCACCTGCACCTGCAGCTCAGCCCGCTCAGGGCCCCGGCGGTGCAGGTGGGGCTGGGCCAGCAGGGGGCCCCCTCCCCCGTGGTCTCCCTCTGGCTCCTGGGTCTGACACTCATGGACTTGCAAGGTGGATGGGACCCTTCCCTAGAGCCAGAAAGCCTGACCTCGGGCCTGCTGGCCTCCATCTCACCTCCTGCACCCCCACCCCCACCCCCAACACAGGCACCAGGTTCCCCTGTCCCATCCCACACCCTGCCAGCCCCACACCCTGCCTGCCCCACACCCTGCCAGCCCCAGGAGCCTCAGCTCCTCCTCCACCACCAGTGGGAGGGCCCTGAGGAGGTGAGGGCAAGGTGCTGCTGACTGTGCCCGAGGCAGCGGGCTGGGCTGGGCAGAGGGCAGAGCCAGTGCTGTGGAGGCAGCGGGGACCTTGGCCTGGACTTGAGCAGTTCCCGCTGTGACAAAGGGGTGCCCAGTCAGCAGAGGCTGGAAGGACCTTAGGGCACCTGCTGCCTCCCCTGCACACTGGCAGCAGGAGGTCCTGTAGGGGGAGCGAGGGGCCCAGGGCAGGGCCACGCTCTCTCTTTTTTTAAAAAATATATTTTTATTGATTTCAGAGAGGAAGGGAGAGGGAGAAATGATGATGAGAGAAAATCATTGATCGGCTGCCTCCTGCACGCCCCACACTGGGGATCGAGCCTGCAACACGGGCCTGTGCCCTGGCAGGGAATGGAACCGCAACCTTCTGTTCATAGGCTGATGCTCAACCCGAGCCACATTGGTCGGGCTGGGCCACCCCTTTTTAAAAAATATATATTTTATTGGTTTTTTATTTTTATTTTATCTTTTAAAACATATTTTATTGATTTTTTTAGAGAGAAAGGGAGAGGGATAGAGAGTTAGAAACATTGATGAGAGAGAAACATTGATCGGCTGCCTCCCGCACACCTCCCACTGGGGATGTGCCCACAACCAAGGCACATGCCTGCTCTTGACCAGAATCGAACCTGGGACCTTTCAGTCCATAGGCTCTATCCACTGAGCCAAACCGGTTTCAGCTGGGCCACCCTCTTAACCCCAGCTTGGGTCCTCCCCGGGCCTCCCTCCTCTCCAGCCAGGCCTCAGAGTACCCGCCATCCACTGAAGGCCCACGTGTCCACCCCCACCCACTGCCCCGGGCACTCTGATAAAACTGCCTCCAATGCAACGTGGCCCCACCGCACTTTGACTTTGCTCGCTAACTCAGCACCCCATCTCAGGCAGTGACACCCCACCTTCCAGGGGCTTGGCTGAACCCCAGGAATGTGGATACTCTGTCTTCCCCAACCATCCTATGGGGCAGACCCTCCCTGCTCATGAACCCCTCTGCTCGGAGCTTCAAGCCGTGGCCCCCTAGCACGGGCACCCACCGCCTCTCTCCCCTCGCCTCGCCGCCCCGCCCTCCCCACCCTCGGAACGGGCTGTGCGGGCTCCTTCCGGCCCCGCCCAGGACAGGAGCCCGCCGGCCGGCGCTCCGCCCCGCCCGCACCCAGGGCTGCGCGGCTCTCGGGGATCGCGAGTTCGGTGCCCGATCCTCAGGGAGGGACCCTGGGCCGGGCAGGCGGCTTCTCTCCCGGTTCCCACTCCGCCCGCCCCCGGGCTGGCGGGCAGTGCCCTTTGCCTGAGAACGCGCGAGGGGAGAGAGAGAAACCAGGCCGCGCAGGGGTCCGGCCCTCGGGACTTCCTCCCGGCCCGGCCGCCGAGCTCGGGGCTCCCCGCGGGCCCCGGGGCCGCCGTGCTGGGGGCGTCGGGGGCGGCCCCGGGGCACAGCGGCGCGGAGCAGGGCGGGAGGCGGGAGGCCCGAGACTCGCGGGAGGACGGCGCGTGCGCACAGCGCCGCCCCAGGCCCCGCCCCCAGGCCTCGGCGGCACGTGACCAGCGCGTCCCCGGCCCGGTGCGCGCGCAGGCAGGGTCCGCGCACGCGCAGACCGCGCCGTCTGCGGCGGGGACCATGGCGTCCGAGCGGCTCCCGAGCCGGCCCACCTGCCTCCTCGTGGCCAGCGGCGCCGCCGAGGGTGAGGCTTGCGCGGAGGGAGGGCGGCGGGTGCCGGGGGCACCGCGGGAGGGCGAGTCCAGCGGGCCCAGCAGGGAGCGCCCTCGGCCCGCTGGGGCGGGGGCAGTGGGCGTCCCCGGGGGTCGGACACATGGCCTTGGGCGCGTGGGCCTCCCTGACAGGTGGTCAGAGCCTGTGGGGCTCGGCGCCCCGGCACTCCCCTAGGCGGAGGCGGCTGGAGCGGGGCCGCCCGGGGCGGGGACTGAGGGCCCGGCCTGCCCAGTTGGAGGCACCAGAGCGGCCGTGGGGCTCCCGGGGCCCCGTGGTGCCGGCCTCTCTCCCCCTCAGGGCCTGGGCTGCAGGCCGGCGGGGAGAAATGAGCAGGTCCGGGCCCTGGTGCTCTGAGCACTTCCCGGGTCCTCACCGGCGTGTCCGCTGGCACGGAGGGAGAAGCCGGAGGACCAGGGCCGGGGCGGGGTCCGTGTGGAGCCTGGGCCCCTCAGCTTGTGTGGCTGCTTGGTCCTCAAGGAGGAGGTCACGGGGTCACAGTGCGCCGAGCCCCGGGGGCCCTGAGTGGCGTGTGCCTAGAATGAGGGCCGGAGCCAGGGTCCTACCCCCACCCCCATGGGGGTTCAAGGGTGGGAGGAGCCATTGAAAGGGGTTCAGCCCTGGGGAGACAGGTTGGAGCGGGATGAGGGGGAGGGGTCGCAGCCGCGTGGCTGGGCCGGGCGGAGGGGATGCTGAGAACGTGGGCGGGGGCACAGCTCTGAAAGGACCGGTGGGCCCCGATGACCCCCCTAGGGGCCTGGGGTGAAGGAGGTGGGGGTCGGAGGTGGAGGTGAGAGAGCAAGGGTTTGAGGAACTGGGAAGGCGGCCGGGGAGGCGGGGAGGGGTATTTGGAAAGACTGTTTTTGCTCTCAGTGTGTGGACTTCCTACAGTGAACGTGTACTAACTCATAGGCGTGGATAAAGATGAACCTGAGGTGTAGGGGTTGGGTCCCAGGGTGAAAATAAGGGCGGAAGGATGCCGGTCAAGCCCGTTTAGAGGTGGATGTCCCTGGTGGGGCCGCAGCCCCCGCCGCCAGGAGCTTCCAGAAGCTTCCAGACGGGGCGTGGGCGGAAGAGGGCTGGGGCCCACTGGCCCTCAGGAGCTCCTGTGAGGAAAGGGCTGGGACCCTGCCCTGGCCCAGGAGGAGGGTGCACCCCCTTCCTGTGACAGGAGCCATAGCCCGCCTTCTGGGCAGGAGCCTGCTCTCTGCCGCCCTCCCTGGCTCAGCCTGGTGGGGTGGGGGCTCAGCCGCTCCCTCCCTGGCTAACTTAGGTCCGTGGTCAGCAAACTCCTTAGTCAACACAGCCAAATATCAACAGCACAGCGATTGAAATTTCTTTTGAGAGCCAAGTTTTTTAATCTTAAACTTCTAACGCCACTTCACAATAGACGCCCAGGCGGTGGTATTTTGTGGAGGAGCCACACTCAAGGGGCCAGAGAGCCGCATGTGGCTCAGAGAGCCGCAGATTGCCGACCACTGACTTGGGGGTAAACCAGGCCCTGCTGGTTGAGTGAGCAGGTGAGCTGAGTGACCGCTCACTTGGCTGTGCCTTCTGGGGCCAGACGGGGGGGAGCCCAGGGAGGAGATAAGGGCCTGCTGGGTCTGGGGGTGAGGTGGGGAGGGGCTGTGCCTCGGTGGTCCTGGGCCAGGAGCAGCCCGGGGTGGCCTGGCAGGGGGCTGCCGGGCCCAGCACTCAGTCACGTGTCCTTCTTGCAGGAGTGTCAGCCCAGTCCTTCCTCCACTGCTTCACGCTGGCCAGCGCTGCCTTCAACCTGCAGGTGGCCACCCCTGGGGTAAGTCCGGCCCCCTTTCCTTCTGGGGGCCGGGGGACGGGGGAGGCTGTCCCTGGGAAAAGTGGTGAGCCGAGGCTGCTGAGGGACCCAGACCCATCGGCATCATGGGTCGGCGTCTGCTGGCGAGAGAAAGGATGGCGCAGACTGTCCAGCAGGAGGGGTGCAGCCTCACAGGCGGCTGAGGACCAGTGTGGGCGGGCACCGTGCAGCTTGGGTGTGTTGGACTCTGGTGAGAGGACTGGGCTGAGGGACCTTCGTCCCTGGGGGGCTGCCGTTGGTCTGGCTCCTTCCGTTTCTGAGCACCAGGGGTGAGCCCCCAGGGGCGCCCGCGCTGACCTCTGCCTCGGGGCTCCGCAGGGGAAGACCATGGACTTCGTGGACGTGAATGAGAGCAATGCACGCTGGGTACAGGACTTCCGCCTCAAGGCCTATGCCAGCCCCGCCAAGCTCGAGTCCATCGACGGTGAGGGCCCGAGACCTTGGAGGGTCGGGCGTGTGGGGTTCCAGGTGGGTTTGTGGCCCACAGCGCTCCATCCCTCTGCCCCTGGAGCTCCCGGGCTCGCACCAGGCGCTGTGACTGTGCTGTCCTCTCCTGCGTCTTGGGCCCAGAGTTCCTAGCTGCCTCTGCGGGGAGAGGTGGCGGGCACGTGGAGGGGGGGGGCGGGAATGGTCCGTGGCTGTGGGAGCCTGAGCCCGTGTGGGGACAGGGACAGAGGATGGTGACTGGCGCAGGAGCGAGGGGACTGACTGGCCTGTGGTCTCCCCCAGGTGCCCGGTACCATGCCCTCCTGATTCCCAGCTGCCCCGGGGCCCTGGCGGACCTGGCCAACAGTGGGTCTCTGGCCCGAATCCTGCAGCACTTCCACTCCGAGAGCAGTAGGTGACCCCGGCCGGGGGATGGGGGCTCCACAAACGGCGGGGGCGGGGAGGCGGAAGGTGCTGTGCTGGCTGTGGGCTCGGCAGCTGTGGATTGCAGGGTCAGGTCTTAGGGCTGGAAATGTCAGATCATTCAGTGAAGAGCCGTGATCTGGCCAGTGAGGGTCAAGTTGACTCAGTGTCCCACACATGAGGGTGGGCACTCCCACCCCTGCCCTTTGGCCAGCACCCCTGTGGGCCTCTGCCTGGCCCCTTGGGCGGGGGCTGGCCCCCTGGTCCCTCCGAGGAGGAGGGTAGGATGTGGCTTTGTTCCTGGTGGGAAAGCACCCGGTCCAGGCTGGGGCCGAGGCCAGCAGGCTGGGAGAAAGGCCGCTCTGGAGACCTGGCCCGCCGCCCTGGCTGCCTTGGCCTCAGATGCGCCCGTCTGGTCGCTAGGGGCCAGCCCACAAAACCGGCTCCACAGTGCCTTTGTCGGTGAGAACGGCCTCCTGTCCCCGCACCAGCCCCGGGACAGGCAGCCGTTGTTCCCGGCCACCTCAGCCGTGGGAACGCACTGGTGCCAGGCGGCCTCTGGGTGGCAGGCCCGGAGCCAAGGCCCGGAGGCCCTGGGAGTTGGAAGTCAGGAGGGGCGTTCCCGGTGGGCTGCCCCTCGCGGTGGTGACAGCGGTGATGGTGACGGTGGGGCCGCGAGACCTTTGCTATCAGAGGGCCAGTGGGGCCTGGAAGGTGCAGGCCGTTGGCTCTGAGAGGCCGGGCAGTGAGTGTGGATGCCGCTGGGCTGGCAAATATTATAGACCTGCTGCCCTCGAGACGCCCCTTGTCCTTGTTTCTCAGCCGCTGGGACTTGAGATTTGAGCCGGAGGCAGCAGCTCCCTGTTGCCCGGGAAGGGGCGGGGGCAGGGGCAGCGGCCTCCAGGAGGTCCGCTGTGGTGGGGGAGGGCAGGGGCCTCCAGGAGGTCCGCTGTGGGGGGGGCAGGGGCCTCCAGGAGGTCTGCTGTGGGGGGGGGCGGGGGCAGGGGCCTCCAGGAGGTCCGCTGTGGGGGGTGGGGGCCAGGGGCCTCCAGGAGGTCCGCTGCGGGGGGGGAGGGCAGGGGCCTCCAGGAGGTCTGCTGTGGGGGGGCGGGGGCAGGGGCCTCCAGGAGGTCCGCTGGGGGGCCGCGGGGGCAGGGGCCTCCAGGAGGTCCGCTGGGGGGCCGCGGGGGCAGGGGCCTCCAGGAGGTCCGCTGGGGGGCCGCGGGGGCAGGGGCCTCCAGGAGGTCCGCTGGGGGGCCGCGGGGGCAGGGGCCTCCAGGAGGTCCGCTGGGGGGCCGCGGGGGCAGGGGCCTCCAGGAGGCCCGCTGGGGGGGGGGGCCGCGGGGGCAGGGGCCTCCAGGAGGCCCGCTGGGGGGGGGCCAGGGGCCTCCAGGAGGCCCGCTGGGGGGGCGGGGGGCGTTGGGAGAGGCCAGACCGGGCCTCGGGCTCACCCGCCCTGCCGCCGCTTTCAGAGCCCATCTGTGCCGTTGGCCACGGGGTCGCCGCCCTGTGCTGCGCCACCAACGAGGACCGGTCCTGGGTGTTCCAGGGCTACAGCGTGACCGGGGTGAGTGCGCCGCCCGTGTGGTCAGCCCGAAGCACGGACGACGGGCACCGGCCATGGTCCCTCTGGCCGTGTGACCGCCGCCTGGCCACCCGCACCAGGCTCGCCGTGGCCGTTGTCCGCTCACATGCTGGGAGGTGTTCGGCCGTGGGTGAGGACAGCCCTGCCTCCCCGACCTGCAGCCGGTTTGCTTTGCTGGCTGCTGGCTGCGGGTGTGGGAGAGCGGGTGGGGTTGAGCTTGCTTTGGCCTGACCAGGAGGCAGGGCTCCATTTGGGTGGAGGGGCAGGAAGCAGGCCCGGGAGGTCCCAGGCGGGAGGGTCTGCGTGGCGAGGCCTGAGGCCTGGCTGCTGGAGGCTGGACACAGCTGATGTGGTCCCAGGTTCAGGTCCAGGTGAGGACGGGACCCGAGAGGAGCGTGGGCCACTCCTCAGTGCTCCTGTGGCCCCGCCCCACCCACAGGCCCGTGGCTCTGTTCACCTCCAGGCCTTTCACTGCTCGCAGGGCCCAGCTGGCCTTCCCTGTGCCTCGACGCTGGGGAGGGTGTGTGCCCTGGAAGCCCACGGCCGGAGGGCCGCCCCGGGGCTGTCTTGGGGCCGTGCTGTGCTCCCACCCCCGTGGAGGGAGGCAGGGCCTGCTGGGTTGGACCTGCCTGAGCCCGGCTCCCTTCCCGCAGCCCTCCGTGTACGAGCTGGTCAGGGCCCCGGGCTTCGCCCGCCTGCCCCTCATCGTGGAGGACTTCGTGAAGGACGCCGGTGCCGGCTTCAGTGGTGAGCTGGGCGGCGCTGCAGGCACCGGGGTGGGGGCGGGGTCAGGGGAGCACACTGGCCAGGCCAGCCTCCTGGGGCTGAGCACCCGTCGACCTCGGTGGCCGGCGGCTCTGAAACCCCGCAGGCTGACCTGGAGCTCACAGCCCCAGGAGGGTGGGGGGGCCGGGCCTGGGCGGTGCCCACGTGGGGCTGCGCCTGAGGCCGTGCCCTCGGGTCTCCTTCAGCCAGCGAGCCTGACGCGGTGCACGTGGTCCTGGACCGCCACCTCGTCACGGGCCAGAACGCAGGCTCCACTGTGCCCGCCGTGCAGAACCTGCTCTTCCTCTGCGGCAGCCGGTGAGCGGCTGGGCGACGGGCGGGCTGCTGGGCCACGGTCCCTGTGCTGGCTGCTGCTGGCTCCCGAGCCCTGACCTGGTGTCTGTCCTGCAGGAAGTGACGCTGTCCCGGCTGAGCCACCCTCCTACCAGTGGATGCCACCACCTCCAGAGGCCCAGGTGCCCAGGCAGCGGGACTCCGGCTCAGGGCCCGAGCCTCCGACAGCCCCTGAGGCTGACTTCACCTGGCCAACCAGGCCTGTGGGGCTGCAGGGCCTCCGGGCGTTGGCCTGAGGGTGTCAGGTCTTGGGGTGCGAGGCCAAGGTGTTCCCTGGCACCAGGTGGGGCTCGGGTCCCATGTGGAGCGTCCACAGGGAGTTGTACCCAGAGAACCAGCGGGGCATTGCAGGGTGGGGTGGTGGCCCCTCTGGTCCTCCTGCACCAGCACTCAGCACTGGGTGTCCCCTCTGCCTGTCCCTGGCGCCCAGATCGGGAGCAGAGGTCGACCCCCCTGGGAGCAGGATGACCACGCTGGCCCAGCAGTGACAGGCAGGGGTCCCAGAGTCGGTACCTGTGTGGGGAGGGCCGTGCCCTGGCGGTCTCTGTCCCCCAGCCCTGCGGGTGCTGCTGAGTGGGGAGGGGCCAGCTGGCTGGAGCTCGGTCAGCACTTTTGAGTTGGGTCAAAGGTGAAGGGGAACTAATCTGTGGTCACGGCTCAGGGCCCCCAGACTTGCCCCGATTTTAACCTTTGCCTTGTGTGTGGGTTCGGGTGGTGGTGACCCTATGTCAGGCCAGGGTGGACCTCAGGGCAGACGGCATCCTGTCGGCATTTCCCGGAAGGTGAATTGGCCTGGCCGTCAGCCCCATGTGCCCAGGTGCCAGGGTGACGGGTGGCTGTCTGCTCAAACCCTGACAGACACACCTCCGGGGCATGGTCTGTATCACCCGTAAAATCAGTCACTCCTGCTGAGGTTTCTGTCCGGTCACGCCTACTCTGCTCCCTGCAGATAGGTCCTGAGTGAGGGTGGGAGGAGGAACCGGAAAGCCCTGGCAGGGCAGGGGCGGGATGGAGCCTCTGGGATTCCCCCACGCACCCAGGAGCTCTGCAGCAGCACGCTCAGGAAGGAACGGACAGGCTGGCCCGTGAATGGATCTTGTTAAAGGGCAGCGTTAGCGCCATGTGGTGAGGCGTTTGCTGTGAAAGAATGAAGTCCTGCCCAGCCCATGTGGCTCAGTGGGTTCAATTCCCAGTCGGAGCACACGCATGGGTAGTGGGCTCAGTTCCGTGTGGAGTGTGCAAGAGGCAGCTAATCAGTGATTCTGTCATCAGTGATGTTTCTGTTTCCCTCTCCTTTCTCTATGAAACCAATAAAAATACATTAAAAGCTGAAACCGGTTTGACTCGGTGGTAGAGCGTCAGCCTGCGGACTGAAAGGTCCCAGGTTCGATTCCGGTCAAGGGCATGTACCTTCATTGCGGGCACATCCCCAGGAGAAGGTGTGCAGGAGGCAGCTGATGAATGATTCTTTCTCAGCGATGTTTCTGACTCTGTCCCTCTCTCTTCCTCTCTGTAAAAAATCAATAAAATATATATATTTTAAAATACATTAAAAAACAAAGAGAACCAAAGCCGGTTTGGCTCAGTGGATGGAGCATCGGTCTGCGGGCTGAGGGGTCCCGAGTTCGATTCAGTCGGGGGCATGTGCATTGGTTGCGGGTATGTCTCCAGTGGCGGGGTGTGCGGGAGGCAGCTGGTCGATGTTTCTCATCGATGTTTCTGGCTTTCTGTCCCTCCTTCTCTCTTCCTCTCTGTAAAAAAATCAATGAAATATATTTTTAAAAATTAAAAAATAAAATAAAGAGAATGAGGTCCTGACGACACCCTACACCGTGGACGTGAGAATGTGCTAGTGAGAGACGCCGTGCAGTCCTGTTTGTGTGGACCGTCCCGAGGCTCCGTGGCTCGTGGTGGGAATGGGCACGTGGACATGCTCTCCTGGGGGGGCTTCTGAGCCGAGTGCTGATAGTCACACACTCCCAAGTGCCACAACCATCCTGTCCGGTGTCCATGCAGACCCCGGGGCTGGTGGGCACCCAGGAGAGATGGGGTCCGGGTGGGTGCAATGCCCCTGCCCACCACTGCTGGACGCCCACCCAACAGGCCCCCTTAGCACCCAGGGCGGCTGAGCTCATCCAGGACAGGTCGGGCACCCATGGTGCCTGTCCCTGGGCCCCCTGGGAACTGCAGCCATGGGCCCCACTGTTCTGGAGCACATGGGGACGGGGCCTCATCAGGTCCCCGTGGAAGGCTGAGGGGGAAGGTGGCCATCGGGTTCCGGAATAGAAAGCCCAGGTGGGGGAGGGCAGGGCGGCTCTGCTGACCCTTTGGTCAGTCCGACACGTTTCTGCTCATGCCAACATGGACGGCCAGACGGAGACACGCCTCCTTATCCTCTGCCTGGGCACTGACTCCTGGACCAAATCCTCGCCCAGCCCTGCCATGCCCGGCTCCCTCCAGGAACAGAGGCTGGTCCTCCCTCCCTCCACCCATCACCGCCCAGGCCCTTCCCAGTACAGCCTTGGTGCCCAAAGTCCAAAAGGCGCCCTAGTGTGTTCTTAGCTGCACCACCCCCTCCAGGTTTAGGGACCATCCAGGACACCCGGGGTTAGATGAACCGCTGCTGCTGTGCTGAGCTGCCCCACCAGGTGGCGCCACCGGCCTGCCCGCTGGTCAGGGCCTCTGGTCACGGAGCCACACCAGAGGCCCACACACGAGTCGGCAGGTACCGATGAGCACAGCCCCGGGGCCCAGTACAGCCCTTGCCCCACCAAGGGATCTGGGCACAGGAAGGGCTCCAGTGGGTGCCCACCCAGCAGCAGGAGGGCAGGCAATGCTGCCCGTCTCGGCAGGGCCCTAGCTGTATCTGGTGGCTGGGCAGCTGGTGCCGAGGGGCACAGGCCATCAGGAAATGAAGCAAGCTTCAGAAAACAACTGCTTTAATGATTAGGCAGAATTTCACAAAATCAGAAACCCATGATCTGTCCCTACTTCCATAGAAAATGGCAGATTGGTCACCGGACTTGTGCAATCAGACGCACATCCACAGCCAGACTGGTCTGCTGCCCGCAAGGCTACTTCCCGTTCTCTGCACTGAACATGCGGTCCTGCAGGGGAGAGGAGGGACCGGGAGGGCGTGTCAGGCTGCCTCTGCGCTCCGCACCGCCCATGGGGTCCCACAGAATGCCAGCCCGCCAGCTCGCCCGGCACTCACCGCCAGCACCCGCTCCAGCTTCACAGCGTCGGCAGCAAACTTGCGGATGCCGTCTGAGAGCTTCTCCACGGCCATCTGGTCCTCGTTGTGCAGCCAGCGGAAGGCCTTCTCGTCCAGGTGCACCTTCTCCAGCGCGCTGGCCTGGGCTGGGATAGGCAGCAGACCTTCCACACCGCCGAGCCGCCATCCCGCCTGGCCCGGCCGCCCTGTGCCCGCCCGGCCCCGCCCCGCCCCACCCCTCAGGGAACCTGGGCGCAGGCAGCCCCCCGCAGGGGCTGGGCCTCACCCGCCTTGGCCGACAGCGCGGGCGCCAGCTTGCTGCTGTCCTTGAGCAGCTCTCCCAGAAGCTTGGGCGAGATGGTGAGGAAGTCGCAGCCGGCCAGCGCCTTGATCTCGCCCGTGTTGCGGAAGGAGGCGCCCATGACGATGGTCTTGTAGCCGAACTTCTTGTAGTAGTTGTAGATCTTGGTGACGCTCTTCACTCCTAGAGGAGACCCGGCGTCACCACGGTGCCCGCCGCCCGCCCCCCTCGCCCTGCCCGGGGCCGGGCCGCTCACCAGGGTCCTCCTGGGGCTCGTAGGACTTCTTGTCCGTGTTGGCCACGTGCCAGTCGAGGATGCGCCCCACGAAGGGCGAGATGAGCGTGACGCCCGCCTCGGCGCAGGCCACGGCCTGGGCGAAGGAGAAGAGCAGCGTCATGTTGCAGTGGATGCCGTGCCGCTCCTCCAGCTCCCTGCGGGACGCACACGTCACCCTGGCTCTCCGGCTCCCCGCTCACTCCCTCTCAAACCCAGTTACAGACTGACAGCGGCGAGAGGCCCCAGCCTGCACCCCGCCGGCAAAGGCCGCGGTCCCCCCTCAGCCAGAACCGCCTGGGGCTGGACACCGGCCGTCATCTCAGGCCGCAGTGCTGCCTGCCTCTCCCCGGAGCCACGGCCTCCTTTGCCCACTCTCACCCCTCCCAGCCCGCCCTGCGGCGGCCCGTCAGTCCACCGTGACATCTCACTCTGCCGTGTGGGCGGGGCAAGGGCTGTGACAGTTGGACCTCTGCTCAGGCTCCTCTAGCCACAAACTGCCACCGCGGGCCAGTTGAGAAGGGCTCCACCGTGTGGCCATAGTGGGGGTGAAGAGCCCACACAAGAAGCAGTGCCTCCTCCAACGGGCACAGTGACCAGCCAGATGACCGGTATGTGTCCAGGAGCGATGACACAACCATGTGGCCACAGAGGATGGATGGACACAGAAAAGGCAGCGTGCACACAGCGGGACATTCAACTTGAAAGCGACTCAGTCCTGACTGCCACAGGGTGAGCCCTGGAAACGTGCCACGTGTCATGAGCCACCATGTGAGACGCCCAGAACAGGCAGCAGAGTGGAGCGCTGCGCAGGAGGCGCAGCGGACACAAGGCCCGGCACGGCTGTTCCCACCGGTGAGACCAGAGGGCCGGCCTCCGAGCCTCACCTCCGCCTCCACCCGGCCTAAGAGGCTCTGCCGGCGACTGTGAGCGCCGTGTGAGGACCCGGGTGTCACAGCACTTGTTTCTGAGGGTCACCCAGCAGGACCTTGGGGCCTGCCCCTGGACACACCTGCTCGGTCAGCTGGGCCGCGCCCACCCCCTGGAGTGTGTGTGGGGGAGACACTTACTTTCCAGCTTGAATTCCTTCCCAGGTGGACGACAGCTTGATCAGGATGCGGTCCTTGCTGACCCCGACGTCCTTGTAGAGCTCGATGAGGCGCAGGGCTCGGGCCACCATGGCGTCCTTGTCAAAGGAGAGCCTGGGAGAGCCGGGGCCGCGGTGAGGGCCCCGAGGGCGAGCGGGCAGCGGCATGGCCCGGCTCCCGATCGCCTGCCCTCCGTGAAGCCAGAGCAGGCTGCAGGCAGGGGGCAGGGAGCCAGGCTGGCGGGTCTCGGACCAAGCAGCTGCTGCCCCGCCCGCCTGCACCCTTACCTGGCATCGACTTCCGTGGATACGCGGCCTGGAATCTTCTTCAGTATTTCCGCTCCAAACAGCACGTACAGCTTATCGGTCGCGTTTTGAATCTGTTCTTCCTGGGACCTGAAACCCAGGGGCCGGGCCGGCGACTGGTCAGTCAGTGCCCAGGGTTCAGGACGACAGGCTGCTCCTGGAGACCCTGCACTGCAGCTTCCTCCCTTTCTTTTTTTCAACATCTTTCTACTGATGAGAACCACTGACTGCTGCCTCCTGCACGCCCCCACTGGGGATCGAACCTGCAACCCAGCCTGTGCCCCGACTGGGAATCGAATCATGACCTCTTGGTCCATAGTCTACACTCAGCCCCTGAGCCAGGCCGGCCGGCTGCCCCTTTCTTCAAAACGCATTTATCACCAAAACTGGTTTGGCTCAGTGCATACAGCGTCGGCCTACGGACTGCAAAGTCCCAGGTTCGATTCCGGTCAAGGGCACATACCTTGGTTGCAGGCACATCCCCAGTGGTGGGTGTGCAGGAGGCAGCTGATGGTTGTTTCTCTCTCATCGATGTTTCTAACTCTCTATCCCTCTCTCTTCCTCTCTGTAAAAAATTAATAAAATATAGTTTTAAAAAACCCACGTTTATCCCTGGAAAATACCCACAGCAGGAAGTCACCACCTTAACCTAGGAGCGCGCAGCTAGGGCATGAGGCATTTACTGTGGTGTGGCCGTCACCCGCCACCTCCACATCCACCTTTCCCGCCGAGCCCCTCCCTCTCTGTGCTCGTGAAAAAGCATCTTTGGAGTCGTCTAGGCAGACCAGTCAAGTGCACACAGAGGGTCTCAGCCAGCGTGTCAGCCAGCACCTAGGCCTGTGAGTGACGAAGGCACGGAAGTACCAGCCTGGCTGGTACACACAGCAGATCAGCCATGAGGGAAGGGAAAGTGAAGCCGGCTAAGGCAGGGAGCAGGGCAGACACGGGCAGAGCATGTGCAGCCTGCACACTGCATGCCACCGGGCATCCCAGCCAGCGGCCACTGCTCCCCAAGCTCACCCTAGTGAGCATGTAAAGTGAGCCTAGGAAGGCAAGTCCATGGAGACCGCCTCTGATTGTGCCTGGAGGGGGGCAGGACCGGCCACGGTGGCAGGGAGCGGCTGGGACCAGACTGGTGACGGCTGCATCACGGCAAAAAG